AGGAAAGAAAAAACTCAGAAGTCAAACAGTTGGTGTTAGAGAAGCAGATGTATTCAGCTGAAGGAGACGGCAGGCTGCCCCATCTCAAAGATTTACATTTACTGAGGGGTTTTTAAAGGAAGGGTTGAGGGAGTGGAATGTGGGAGGTGAAAAGCAGGAGAGCAGGAGACGTGAGTTACGAGGGGTCTGTGTCTGTGGGCCAGGTACAAGGTCTCACCGAGTCCTCATCTGGTTTCTGTTTTCATCTTTGCTTTTATCTCAGGATCCTGCAAGATTTTGATTTGCGCCAGTGTACTTGGCTGGTGCCCAAGGTCAGCTTCAGTCATTTGACCTTGATCATTTCTCAAAACTCTACAAGTCTCAAAGAAAGAACTGTTAGCTTTGCAAAGTACTAATTAGCTTCTCAGCCTTGTTTTCCTACTTAGCGAGCGAGATAAGAAAGTTGGGGGATGGGAAGAAAGAGTGGAGAGGAAAAAACTGTCCTTTTTAAAATCCTCCTCCCCCTCCGCAGCCCAGGCAGCTTTAGGTCCCAGCATGGCTTCAGTCCTGCTCACTCCAGCAAAGTCAATTCACATGTACTTGGGAGGCAAGCAGGACAGACCCTGGCCAGCAAAGGGCAGTGCTCACACTGACCACACAGCCCACTGCTCTGGCCACAAGGGAGCCAGTCGTGGAGGGAGGGCCAGGCCATGCATGGGGGGCTGTCTGGGCAGTGTGGGTGCCCCCAGGGCCCTCCCCTGACACGACACTTAGGCAGGTGAGAGGAAGCTGGACACATGGAGGCCTATGCCAGAGCAGGACACAAAGGACACTGCTGACAAAACCACCTCAACTTTACTCCGTTGTCAAAATGAATAGCTCCAGAGACTGGGCAGGGCCCACACCAAGTTTAACACAGAAGTAAGTTCAGTGCAGACATCAAGTTTAACACAAAAGCAAGGAAGACACATTTAAAGCTCAGTACAGAGCACAGGCTGGCTCAAGACAGGAGAAGCTGCTGAAAGTAAGCTCAATACAAAGTACAGCACACACACCTCACCAGCCACTGCAGGCTGCCTAGAGTGAGCTACAACACAGCCGTTAGCTGGGATTCGGCTTTTATGGCTTGTCTGCCTAATGAATATTCAGTTAAAGGGATGGTTCCCTGTTACATGCACCGGGCATATTCAGGAATATTCTGTGCTCTCTACTGAGCATGCCCAGACACTGGATTTGCATAAACCAGCCCCTTGTGGTCTCATTTTCCCTGTGTTGGTGCTGAAAATAGGTCTAACTGGCAACACTAACTCTCCTCCAGGGGAGAGCCCAGAGGAGGGGGCCTGAGACCTCAGGGAGTGGCTGGAAACCCAGAGGCCTGTCCTGAAACCCGAGCCCAGGGAAACTGAGCACCTCCTATCTCACCGGGAATGCAGGGCCGGTCCACATGAGCATGAGCCGATGTAATTCACCCTGTTCATGGGCTAGAAGACAAAAACATCCTCGTTTCAGTAGATGCAGAAAAAGCATTAGAAAAAATCCCAGAACCTTATAAAAACTTCCAGCCAACTAGGAACACAAAAGGGTTTCATCAAACTGATAAAAGGTATCTACAAAGAACTTAGAGCTGACATTTAGTGGATGTTATACTTGGTGTTGAAAGACTGACTGCTTTCCTCACGCCAAGCAATAAAGCAAAGACCTCGGCTCTCGCCCCTTCTGCCCAGTGTTGCACGGGAGAGTCCAGTGGTGCAAAGAGCTTCCTTCCTCGGTGCAGACCCAGATTTTCATCTGGTATCATTTCCCTCCTGCTGCATTTCTCATCCTGCATGTCATTTGGTGATGATTTCATCTATTGTATATCTGAAAACCTCTTTATTTTGCCTTCTTCTTGAAAAATATTTTGACTGTATAAAGAATGCTAGACTGACAATTGTTTTCTTTCCAAACTTTGAGGCATCTTCTCCACACTCACACCCTTGCACCTCCTCCAGCAGGAGCTGCACTTCACCTTTATCTTTGGTCCTCTGGACCCATGTGCTGTTTCTTGTCTGGCCGCCTTGAGGACGGCTTGGTTCACTGGGCAGACACATGTGCTATAAAGACACAGTAACAGCATCGCGTGTGGTGGTGTCCAAGGGGAGCCTAACAGAGACCAACCTGCATGAGTCTAAAGGTGATTTGTAACCAAGGTGCAGAGCAACGGGAACGGCCGTGTTCGCATCCATGTGCCGGGGCCATGGGATCGCCACCAGCTAAGTTGGCCACGTGGCCTTTTAGCTTAGGCTGAAGCAGGGTGTCCCGACCCATGGGATATTCAATGCAGACCCTGGAGGGGGGAGTGGGAATTGGATGGGACAAGAGACGCAGGATGGAGGGGCGGATATGGAGTAGGCGTAGTTTAAGGGGCATCTCAGGAGGCCCATTCATTAGCCATCCAAGTGTGTTCTCCAATTCAATTTCACAAGCGGTAGAGCTAATGTTCTCCGTCGGACACTGTGTCCTCATTCACTCATTCATTTCCCATCAGTAGTTCTAAACTCAGGAGGAAGGTTGTTTATTAAGCTGTAATAATCAATATGAAGCTTGGCATTTTTGTCCCCCTGAACAAGTAGGAAGCCACTGACTGACTGAGGAGTGTCTGTGTTGCCAGGAGCTCATTAACTAATCTCCTCTGTCCTTACAAAGGAGACAGTTCCACAAGGAAATATACGGAACCATAAGCATGCTGCTAACCCCCAAGGGAACTGTTGGCCCAGGGTCAAACCATGCAAAATGCCCCACATTGTGGTCCCTCCTTGAACATGGGTTAGTAGGGCAGTGGCCCAGCCCTGCAATGTCAGCCTGTCTCCTTACTCCTGGCATCCCAAAGTCCCATGTGGAAGTCCTAACCCTGAGTATGACTCTATTTGGAAGCAGGCCCTTTAAAGAGGTGCCGGGCAGGAATCTCAGATCCTTCTGCCCCTTCCTGTGCAGGTCACGAGTCAGGTAATTGAAAGAAGATCCTGGCAGCTTTATGCAAGGTAGACATATTTTATTCTTCAGATGTGAGCTTGATAGACATGCTTTATTCCTCCAAGACAAGCTCAGGCTCTGCCCTGCTGACCCTCCATGCTCTGCCAACCAGCAGTTCAGAGCAGTTGCCTTTATACTCTTAGTACAAGATAGCGGCCCCAAGCCAAGCATTACATAATTACAGCAATCACGCTGAATTATAAATGGGCGCACATACGCAGTTACACTACTGTAACTTGTTTCTAGTGAATTGCTGAATCTTGCTCATCTTTGTAACACAGAGGGCCTGACTAAACTTTTTCTACGTTCCTTACAAGAGGTAATTAAGGTTAAATGAGGTCATAAAGTTGAGTCCTAAGCAAATAGTATTAATGTTCTCCTAAGAAGAGGAAGAGACACGAGGGACATGTGTGCAGAGGAAAGGCCACGTGAGGAAAAAGGGAGGAGATGCTGTCTGCAAGCCAAGGAGAGAGGCCTCAGCAGAAACCAGCCCTGCCACCCCTGCTCTCAGACTTCTGGCGTCTGGAACTGAGAGAATACAGGAGTGTTACTTAAGTTATTCAATCTGTGCTACTTTGTTACAGGAGCCCAAGCTGACCCAGACGGGAGCCTGAATCAGCCCTCCCCTGTCCTCAAACTAGGTCCCCAGAGCCACCCACTCATCAAATGACAGCATGAAGTTATTTAAATCAAAATCTGTTACAAATCCTAGTGTAACATGAAACAGATTCATAGGAGACGTTAACCTGTCGCAGTCAGTTTAGGCATTTAAACTAGGCAGAAACGAGTATGATCTGAATCACAGTGTCTCAAGGATTGCCGTGGTGGGTGTCACACTGCACATCTAAATGAACAGAAGGTGCATTGCCCACCAACGTAACTGGCACATTTACAAACCAGACTGAGTTTTAGGCAACAGATAATTTCACTTAATAGTCACGGTACAAGTTACATTTTCTCACCAAGTAAAAAATGTGATAAATCAATTAGAAAGTCATTGGGAACAATCTCCAAAGACATGCGACTTGAATTCTGGTTATAAGATTCTGGGGAAGAATTAGGAAGGAGGAGATAATGAAAACGTGTGTGGACCCCAAGTGGTGGACGGGTGGTCATTGCCGCAGCTGCTGTGGGCTGGGACGTTACATACCAGGCGTTTGCTATTGGCTGGGCATACGCCAGGAACAAGACTCTATACAGGAGGACCGCAGTAAACTGATGATACCCAGCCCATAACAGACAAAACGTCTACAGCCAATGACAAGTGCACGAAGGACTAAAGGGCGGGTATTTAGACAGGGTCGTCTGGAGAGGCATCTTTAAGAAGGCGAAAGATGAAAAGGAGTAAGATATGCCCGTAGTGGGAGGGAGTGTTCCAGGTGGGGGTTGGGGGAGCAGGAGGGTGTTTAGCGTGAAGACGGAAGAGAGGAGCTTGGCTGAGAATGGCAGGGAACGAGGTCAAAGGGGTACCTGCAGCAGTAGCTCAGGGGGCGGGCAGCGTCCTAAAGTCCATGGGCTGTGCTGGAACCTGGGGCAGTTGGACCCACGAGGCGGATGTGATGGGTACAGAGAATGAGCTGGAGGGCACAGCAGCAGGATGGAGCCAGGCCGGGCGAGGGCTCTGGGTGAGATGTTGACTGTGTGGAGGGGCTGGGCAAGGTGCTAGTGGGGACGGGGATGGATGGATTGGGGCCGTGCCGTAGAGGTGGCACTGTCAGGACAGCTGTCATGGTGGGCTGTGCATGAGGAGCAGGGTCGTAGAGCACGTGGTGCGTCTGGCAAAAAAGAGAGTTGCCCGTGTTTAGAACCTGGAGAGAACCAGGCGTGTGGACACGTGACCTGGGCCTGGGCTTGCAGCTGCAGCTCCATCGATAGTTTAGGTCCAGCAGTAGCAATGCCAGCAATGGCTTGATTACGCTGCTGTTTCTTCCTCATTTTGCCGGCTTTCCTCAGAAGGGATGGCTGGAATGTCGAGGCTGCCCATGGAGGGGGAAGGTCAGGATCCCAGCTCAGCCTCTGTCCGGGGTGGAAGGCAAGGTCAGGGGTGGGGCATTGCTCATCCTCAGCTCCGAGGCTGGAGTCTCCTGGGGGCCTTGTGCCCGGCACCCTCTTTCCCTCCACGCCTCCAGCTCACTCATCGGCACCCTCTGGAGAGCAACCTTTAGGGACTCCCTGCTCCTCTTCCCCCAGAGGTACCCAGCCAAGAAGTAGATGGCCGGGTGAGCCACACCGACCACGCTGGACAGCAGCAGCAGGAGGTCAAAGGCCCGACTCAGATACTCTTGTTCTGGCAGGTGCATGATGACAGCCAAAGGCAGGACCCAGAACAGGAAGGTGATGGCCACGATGCTGACACCATGACAGATCCTAGTGGGCGAACACCCCTGGGGGCAGCACAGGCTCTGGATGGTCAGGGTCAGGCTGGACACGACTATCACCAAGGAAAGGAGCCCATGAAATATCCCGAAGCCTTCGTGAAACGGCTCACACGCCAAGCCCCTCTGCCAGTAGTCACAGACCTCGTTTACCGCGTGCGAAGGGAGGGCCGGGCCCCAGCTCAGGGCGCCCACCACAGCAGAGGTGTGCCGTGGGCGGCGGTGGCGGCTGCAGGTGGGCAAGAGGACGCACAGAGAGCTCTCAGTGCCCATGCCGCCAGGAGACAGACCCACCATGTCGGAGAAGTAGGAGACGGCCTCCGGGACCACGACCACGTGCCACGTCACCTTGTGGTACATCATGAGGACCTTCTCCAGCAGGATCCCAGCTATGCAGGAGAGACTGAGGATATCAGATGCCACCAGGTTGAGGACACAGGCTGCATGGGGGCTGCCTGGGGTGTGGCAGCAGAGAAGCCAGCAGACTGCACCATTGCCCACCACCCCACAGAGGGCCACTGCCACTGTGATGGGGAGCACAGCCTGCTGCGAGCCCGGCCACTCGCTCCCCGTGCCGTTCACCCTCATGAGTCCTGTGGTCTCTGTCTCATTGTCCAAATCCAGCTCCCAGGAGAGGCTTGCGGGGAGCCGGGCCATGGTGAGCTGGCCTTTGCTGCCTGGGCTCAGCCTGTGGAGACAAAATTGGGTGATTCGCCAGGCCTGGCAGAAACATCAGGGCCGCCCTCTGTCACCAAGGGCAGACTCTACTAGAGTCTCTGGGTTGGTGGGAGTCGAGGAGCAGAGTTGAGGAGAAAAGCAAGTGCTGTGTGGGAGACCCCTCCCTTCCTCCCAGGCCCCAACCCGTGTCCCCACCACCCCCAGTACCCCCGGTGCTTCAGGCTGTGCCACAGCCGGGTGCCCACCACGCACCCAGCCCTTTACATGGTGGCGTGAAAGGTGTGTTTCTATACCTTCACCCACATGATGGTTCTCCAACCATAGCTTTCATGACGTGGTTTTGGTGGGGCCACTGGGGCCACTTGTTATGCTGAGACTTCAACAGTTGGCATGTCCCAGCTGGGGCAGTCGCCTTTCTAGCACTGTGGGATGTGCTGCCTGACCTTTCCCCCTGCCCCGTGCCTCCACTCTACCAGCACATGGGCCACCTCGCAGGACCTTTGCATTTGCTGTTCCGCTGTCCGGACGGGCCCCTCTGCTTCCACGGGCTCTGCACCTTCCAGAGGAGCTTCTGCTGATCACGCAATTAAACACCATACTCGTCCCCTATGACAGTCTATGCAATTTACTTGCTTTCTTTTGCGGGAATACCCCACAGGAATGTAAGTCCCATGTGGGCTGTTTCTTTCTTAAATTTTGTTTTCTGCCTCTTCTTCAGCCCCTGGAATGGCATCTGACACAGGAGCTACTTGGTGAGGAGGCTTGCAGAGGGGTTTATGCTGTTCAGGCATGCAGGGGTGCTCTGGGGACGCCTGCATTCCTGAAGAGGCGACTCAGGGTCCTGGAGTCACACACCTGAGCCCTGAGCTGCGTCCACGTCAGGAATAGGCACACGGCCCCATGCTGCGGGGAGGGTGACCAACTTGTCCCGGTTTGCCTGGGACTGTCCTAGTGTAGCCCTGAACATCCTACATCCTGGGAATCCCCGTGGTCCTGGGAAAACCACTGGGAATTCCTGTGGTCCTGGGAAGACCAGGGTGCTTGACTGCCCTACTTGAAGATGAAACTGAGGAGGGGATCAATATTTCTTCTGGAACTGACAGCAAGGAGTAATGAGTGGTCTGAGGGGTCCAGGCTGAGGCCGTGAGAGACGACCTCCTAGGGGCAAATCCCAGCTCCTTTTCATAAGTAGCCGGCCCTTTTCAGCCTCAGTATCCCCATCTGTGTAAGGGTTGCTGTTATGAGCTGAATTATGTGCCCCCAATTCATACGTTAGAATCCTAATCCCCGGAACCCCAGAACATGACTATATTTGCAGACAGAGTTTTCAGAGGTCAGTGATGGGGTCAGTAGGGTGCGCCCTAGTCCCAAATGATTGTGTCCTTATAAAAAGAGAAACTTAGGACACAGACACACACAGAGGGATGACCACGTGAAAACACACAGAAGACGCTGTCTACAAGCTAAGGAGAGAGGCCTCAGGAGACGCCAGCCCCGCAGGGCTTGGATTTCCGACTCCCAGCCCCCAGGCCTGTGAGACAATACATTTCTGTTGTCTAAGCCCCCAGTCTGGGGACTTTGTCACAGCAGCATTAGCTGACTCTCACAGCTGCGGTGAGAACCTTACAGTCGGAATCATGTGAAGCCTAGAACAGTGACAGCTCCCTGGTTGTAGCTCCCTTTTCAGCTACAGAAAAGCCTACAGAGGCTTTGCTTCTGGGTCACAGAAGCTTCTGGAACAACATTTGATCCACAGACTGATTAAAAGCCTGTGATACGCATGGGAACATCCCAAAGGTGCTCCTGGGGTCTGCAATCCCATATTGCCTCCTTGCTGGGGTTTCAGGAGCATTGTAGGGACCGGCTGCAAGTTAGCCCAGCGTTTGGGTCCTCCCTCCTTGCCAGGAGGACAGAGCCCCTTCAGTCAGCGGCTCACTTGGAATGAAATGGTGCAGCCCCAGTCCCGCCCCACCCTGCCCCAGTGCCTAGACTCCTATCTGAGGTGAATGGAGAACTAACGATCCGGCCCAGATCTCATCTGGTCATGTGATGAGGTGTGGGGACTGGTAACAACCAGTTCCCATGGAAACATCAGTGTACGATGCAGTTAAGTGCCTGGGCCAGGGGTGTGGGGACCCGTGACGGTGATAAAATGAAGCTGGCAAACAGGACCCCATGGCCCCTCCCGGGTTCTGGAGTGCCGTGCAGGAACAGCTGGGCTTTGGTTCCCCACCAGGAGAGGGGAATTTACCAATGGAACAATTGCGGGGGAGAGGTGACATCCCCTCTAGTGAGGAGGAAGGACGCCACAAAGGTGGCACATGGCCTTGTGGGCAGAGCACAGGCTCTTGGCCACTGGGCTCATGGAGACTGGCTCACTGCCGGATACCACTGCTGAGCCCGACGATGAGTGGCACGTTCTTCCCTGCCAAGCACAAGGAACAGCAGCTCTGGGTGGGGAGGCCCCAGTTGCCTGGCACAGCCCTGCACTGGCATGGAGAGATGGCAGCCCCTGGAAGGGCCATTTCTGAGTTGGGGCATGAGCCAGGCTGGCAGGGAGCAGACACAACAGACGGGAGGTGGAGATTCTGACAGTGGTGCCAGGGAGGTGCTCAGTCGGCGCAGCCCAGACAGCATGGATGAGAGGATTCCTCTGGTTCTAGGTGTGAGCCACAGCGTCCCCCCCAAACATAACTTTTCTTTGAGGTGAAATTCACACAACGTGAAATGAACCAGTTTAGACTTCCACGCAGCTGGCACACTCACCACATTGTGCACCCACCACACCTGTCTAGTTCCAAAACACTCCATCACCCCAAAAGGAAGGCCGGTGCTCCACATCCCCTCCTCCTCCCAGCTCCTGCAGTCTGCCTCCTGTCGCTATAGAGCGACCTGCTCTGGACATCTCCCGCAGTGGAACCATACGCCACGTGACCCCTGCTGGCTGGCTTCTTTCGCTCAGCGCAATGTTTGCGAGGTTCACTCGCGTTGAGAAGCGGGTCAGAACTTCCTTCCTGTGCTGAGCCTGCCCACGGAGGCCACGGCCTGAGATGCCTGCCCTCCTCCCAACCCATTTAGCTCTGTTAAAAACTGCCAAAAAGGAAAAAAAAATGGAAGTTTGCATGGGAAATGTCTTAGATGAGAAATAAATATGAATATAGAAGTTAAGATGTTAAGTTAGAACCAAGAAGATAGCCCAAGAAGGTCAAAGACCAAACCTCAGTCACACAATGTCACCAAGACCAAACCTCAGTCAAATGCCACCTCTGACTGATAACACCCTCCCAGCCTGTCGGCACAGCCTGGGCTGTATGGGAACCAGGGGACCCAAGCACAGTGTGACTCCCTCGGGGGGCCACCCTCCATCCTTCAGGACCCCATTTCTGTCTTGTCTACCTTCAAGGGCACCTTCCCCAGGAAAAGTCATGAAGTTCCAAATTCCAGACAAATATATCTCTGAGTTGAGATGGTTTGAAAATGGAAAAAGGTCGATCTTTTTTCCTACCTGGGAGATCTTCTTGGACAGAATTGCTACCACACAGGCCAATATCCTGAGAGACTGAAGTCCTGCTCTTGGGTCAGGAATTGCTCGAAATATTTCTACTTTGAACTGGCTCCTCACAAGGGTAACCGAGTTCTCTGTGTCTTTGGGGGCTTCCTGTTTTAGGGCCACTTGCAAATCAGGGCCCAGGCCTTTATCTGAAACATCCTATCCCAGCATCTCATGATACCCGCATCCCGTCTGGCTCTTCTAATTACTCCATCCACGACAACAGTTCCTCCAAGCAAAAAGGATCTTCGAGAAAGGTCACAGCCTCTCGCTGCGTTCATCCCAGACTGACTCCGGCCCAGACCAGCCCCTCTGAGGCTACCTGGGGACAAAATCTGGCCGGCATTTTTCCAATGGGCTCAGGCATGCCAGGAGCTCATGCATGCTACTTTTATTTTACTGTGAATAGAATTGTCATTTTTTACAGTAAAAATGTGGATATTGTTATAAATCTGTCTCAGAACCTCTCATTGAACTCACTGAGCTTAGGAAGACTCAGCTGTGCTTGGTGGGCTCTGCCCCACCACTGACCTGGTTGGTATGAGGCAGATAAAAGACGTCTCTCTTTTGTCCACTAATTTCAGTCAATCAATCAGTCAATTGATTAGTTAATTTCATTAAGTCTAAGTCAACTGAGACAGACATTCAGGAATCAAAACAGTGCCCGAGAACACAGCATCTTTATTACTCGCTCACCTAACCCCCTGGAAAGCACCTCAGTGTCGCACAAAGTACTGGCTTCTATGCTCGTCTTCCCAAGGGATTGAATTTACTGCTCAAAATGCCATGGGCAAGATTTGTCTCCCAAAGCTTATCATTTAGTGGAGAAATCCTGGAAGAAAATGCCCTTCCCGTGGATAGTCAGATTCCCAAGAGATAGAGGAAGGAAGGCACCCAATGCCCAGACCCGTGTCGTCTGTCAGCTGTGATCTGTACCCTGCTCTGGCCCTTTCCCTGCGTGTTGTTGAGATGGCTGCTTGTGACTGACTACAAACATCCCTCCTGTAATGCATCCATTGCTGCCTATCTTATACTTGTGATGTGTGCAGTGTGTGACCGGCGTGACTCTGCCTGTCTGGGCTCAGTGCCACACCCAGCAGCAGGGTGCAGTCCCAAAGCTCATGGTCCCTCCACGCTGTCTGCCGGCATCGTGAGCTACCTGTACATGCGTCTGCCCAGGTAGGTAGACCACCTGTTCTGTGTCACCCCCCTCCTCTCCTGTGTGAACTGCAGCCCTAACCCTGTTATTATTCTCTCTGCAGAGAGTCTTTAAGAAAAAGAGGCCGGGGGACCCTGAGAGTGTTTCTCCAGAGGACAGTGGGGGTCACTGAGAGAGACCTGGGGATGAAAAGGGAGACTCCCCGGGAAGGTGCACAGGCTTGGACATGCCAGTGTGAAGTCTGGGAGGAGTTGTCCCTGCCACTAACCT